GAAAAATGAACACCTAACTGATTTATGCGGCCTAGAGTGCTTCGGAAATCTCTTATTTTGTATCTATTTTCCATCTACAAACGTTTGTGAATTATTGCAACTCAATTAGCCATTAATTACTGTTTGATCTGCATATCTTATCCGATTCTATATCAAACCCTAGATATGAATTATGTGCTAGCGTGCACCAGAGATGACACTCTACGCATTGTGGATCTTCGAATGAATCAGCTGGTTCAGTCATATCAGGCAGAAGGATTCAGGGCTGGCACGGATACTACGCGACCTTGCTTTTCTCCCGATGGTTGTTATATTGCTGTAGGAAGTCAGGACTGTGGAGTGTATATATGGAACGTACGCTCGGGGCAGTTGGAGACTTGCCTGCGTGAACACAGGTAAATTTTATCCGAATAAGCTATTTAGCCTTCAAGACATACCCTGTGTCTTGTAGTACGTTTGGGTTCAAAATTTAATTGCTTACTCTTTAGACGGGACACTCCATTACATGTTCATATCGTAATGTCAGACGTTAGACACATTTCAATTAATTCTAACTCTGAATAGCTTAGTGGCCGCACAGCTTGTGGTTTATAACCTCAGCTAAAACGTCGTAAGCTCAGCATTTAAGTGCTGAAACTCAACTTAGTCAACCTTTTGTCTATCCTACAAATATTATCATGGTTATTGTTTTACCTAATTACATAATTCAATTTTTGGTTTTTAGCAGATTTTCACATTTTCTGTATTGGTTCTCATTCGGCTTGATTTCGCTTGTAATCGTTATTTACACCTAGTTTTTCAATAATTTGAAATTATTAAGGTTAATTATGATTATATTTCATCATAATGCAGATATTCAGGAATGGCTAGTTCAGAATATCCTAAAGCCCACTTTTCAAGGAAACCACACTTATCCAAGTATCCAGCACCAACTAAGGTACTAGTCATCATTTCCTTAGCATTATTTTCGGTTTTGTGTTACCGACTCACTTTTTTCTTTGTGACTTCACTTCATTTCAGTGGCGTCGTTACCTGTTGCCATTGGCATCCACAGGCCCATTCTCTTATTTCTTGCGAGCGTTTGAAACAAGCTATCATCTGGGCGGATTGCTGATTTCATGTTTATTCAATCTGCATACAACGGATGCCCTGCCTTCCTTTTAGCTATATATGGTGCTCTTTTGGATTGCTTTCAATCTCTGGCAAGATGGTTATTTACTTTATCGATTTTACCTGTCTTCCTTTTTTCTTTGGTCACCTAGGATGGAGAGAATATTTGTTTGATTTATTTGGCCTGCCAATCGAATCCATGTATTTTAGAAGTCCTATTTCGTTTAATATCTTATTGTTCTTTATCACTCTTCGAGATTTTACCTTTGGTATCTTTGGCTTATCTCATTCTTCATAATTCTTTTTATTTTGGCAATGCCATTTTATAAATCAAACGTAATCAG